GTGTGTGTGTGTGTGTGTGTGTGTGTGTGTGTGTGTGTGTGTGTGTGTGTGTGTGTGTGTGTGTGTGCACATCTGCTTTTTAACTGTGTTTTCTCAGTTGTGATTTCGATTCTTTGTCCCAGAGAGAGATAAAAGCGGTCATCTATCTATGTTCCCTCCTCCCACATGTCCGTGAGCCGGGCTATTTTTGTTTTTGTTGTTATTTATTTCCGCTTTGCTTCAGAGAAAGAAAGAAATCTTTATTATAAAAGAATTTACCTAAATGTCTTCCAGCTCTTCATAGGGGTATATTTGAAAATCTACCCAGCACAAAATTGATTGCAGACAACATGTTATCAGCCTGTGTCATCTGGTAGCAGTGAATAAAGCCGATATCAGCCAATATATTGGTACATCCCCAATTTTATTGTGCCGCTCAGTGCCCTAATCATCATAATGGTTTGATGCAAATCTGTTCACTTAAAAAGGCTGGAGCTATAATGAATTTCCCAGCCGCCTGACACAAAGCAGCTCTGACTGATGACGCTTTACAGCATCAGCAGCCGATTTTCCGGTTACCTTCCACTCCACCTGTAACATCCGTGTAAACCATCCGCATTAATCATTTTTATTTCTCACTATCAACAAACTCATCCAGTGTGCCTAAATCGCAAAAAGGAAAATATTTCATTACTGCCATAAAAACATATGGCATAGAACAAATTGCTGAGTCACACCACTGGAGGACACAGTCTTTCCCAATTGCACCACTGATCTAAAGTACTAAAGATAGATGGCCATGTACTTCTACATGAGTAACTGTATTGTTAGGAAATTTGTTTTTTAAGTGGCATTTGGTGATATTATCAAAGTCCTTCCTGAAGCAAGTCTCACCATTTGGCAGCTATCTTTGCAATACACAGGCAGATAGTTTGGCCATTATCTAAGTGAATGGGGAGAAAGCTTTAATCCCAGTGCTCACTAGGACACGAAGAGTCACCGGTCCAAGCTGAAAAAAATGCTGCTGACATGATCAGTGGCTACTCCCACCAGACCACTGAGTAATATACTGCATCCATCACTTTATGGATACAGTAAACCAAGAAAAGTCATATATACTCGCCTGCATCATTACTACATTAATAATGGACACGGCTTCATTGGTTAGGCAGAAAAATGCAATTTAATAATCTTACAAATCAAAAAGTTAAACAGAATACAGTGTGTACTTTCTTGGTGGATTGAGGGCACCTTGAAAATGTCACAATAAATCATTGACAGCTCTGTGAATTCTTTATTACAGAAAAACAGTTCATTGCTTCCTGGTTCCAAAAAAACATGGTTCAGGTCAGCTGATTGACTCTTTATGGTTGGGACAGTCGCCATGTGTGGAGTTTTGGAATTCTCCCTTCGGTTTCAATTCGAGCATTTGAATATCTCAGTGATTACCTGGGTGGCAGTAAGCCTGTTGGTTATGCACATAATTCTGAATATCTTCTTGCTTGATTAATTAATACATGATTTGAATTATAAAATGTAAGCGATGCTTGTTTTGGTTATCAACGACTATACTGTATACTGCAACTCGGTGTACTGCGACTCGTTGATTAAAAATATAAGCATTCTATCTTAGCTGTTTAATGCGTAGGTGGCTATAAAAATCGTTTTTGATAAACAAGGCTTCAGTAACACAGGCCTAGAGGCCAGCTGGTGACCCCTGGCAACCTCTAGTTGCTAAGGAAAAATGTGTGTTCTCCAACAGGTTGGAGAGTGGGTGCTCCAAATTCCTGGTTGCAAAGAAAGTGCTCCATCATTAACCTTCTTGTTACTGCTTTGTTTGCTAGCAGATTGCTGTTGTTGCCTTCAAAGATTCATTAACTAGAAGCTGGGAAGTGGTGACACCTGGAAAAATATGCTTTAGGCAAGCAGGGTAACCTGCTATCAACCAAAGCAATTTGGTGTAGCATGGTACCTTTTTTCAACCAATTATAACTAGCAACTGCCAGAAACTCTCCAACTAGTCATGGAATACACATTTTTGTCCAGCGAGCAATGGTTGCTGGAGATTCACTAAAGAGTCTCCGGAATTCTGTGAGTGGAGCCTAAATTATAATCTTCAAATTGCCAGCTGTAGTATTTTCCCAGCAATGGGTTGTGTGATCTGGAAATACAAAAGCTTATTTTGCTCATACTCAACACTGTCAAACAGGATGGAGGCTGGTGAGGGGAGCAGAGAAAGGGCTCGGTGTATAGGAGAAAATTCAAACCACCAAATAGTTTCTGTTGAAGTATGTATTTGTGGACATGTTGCACTTTGGATTAAGAGGGTGTGCTGAGGTGATATTATGCATACATTTGTGGTGGTATATTGCCTTAAGAATGATGCATAACAAAGTTTGATTCACATGTTTTTTGCAGATGATTATCTTAATAAATGGAGATATAAAAGACTATAAAAGTCAATCAGTTTCACAGTCAGATGTTAGTTTCCATCCCCTACTGCATGAGTTGGATGAATCAATTTATGAATGACTTTCTGAGTGTGGGTGCTGGAAAAAGCCTCTTCATGTGCAAAGAAGCAATTAGCTCGAGTCGTTTATTTTGTTCATTGCCAACCTCTATCCTCCTATTTCTCTCTAATTCTCCTGTGCCGTTTTACCACCAAACCTCTTTCAGCCTGCACTTCCTCTCTCTTCATCCTTCTTCATCTCTCTTTCTCTGCTGCTCCCCTTCATCCCTCCTCAGTGCCGCTCTCTTTCATAGCCCCCGTGGTGTTGACCATGTGTGAATGGGACTGAATGATGGGTGGGAAGGAGGCTGCATGCAGTGTAGTTTCACGCGGGCGTGCACGTGCATGCACATAGAAACACGGTCCTACACGAGGGCGCACACACAGAGTTTACTGGTGGGTGTGTTTGTGTGTCTCTGTGAGTCGGTGTGTTGAGGAGGATGAGTCACTCTCTGCATGAAACGCACACACACTCTCAGTCACACATGGACGAACCAGCATGCACTCATATAAGCAATCTAAATACACGGGGCTTTTATTTGCATGCATGATTGATAGTGTTCATGTATCATTTTAATGAGCTCGGTGCGCGTGTGTGTTCATTTGATGTCTTTACTTTAGCCGTTGTGCATTTTTGTCTTTTACATTGAAACGGTGTGCGTTTGTGTGTGCTGGGTGTGATAAGGCTTTTCATTAGTGTTTCCCATACACAGCCTGAAGGCTACAGCTCTGCCCTGCATCATCTATCATCTCTCTCTCTGCCTGTCGATATACTTTCACATCTGCTTACAGGAAGTGCACATGCTCCATCTCCCAAAATTTATATTGGATGTCAAGTCAGTCAAATAATGTGACCATTGGCAATGACATTTACGCTTTCAAGAAGAAGTGGCTAAAAATGATAGAAAGCAATTGTTGAAACCTTGTCCTAACCTTGTTCTGACCCTCACTGTATGCTCATGCTATGCTGTTGATACCTGGTCAGCACAGGTACACCTGTGACTGATGGGAATGTGCATCAAATAGTGTGTGTGTGGATAGAATAAAGGGTCCTATTAATGTGTGTGAGAATATACAGCAAAAGATGCTTGGGATAATTTAGGTCTGACTCCTTGTAAGCCTGTAAGACTCTCAGTAGTAGGATGTGTATGAGCTGAGCAGATGGTGGTGCAGAGCTAAGCAGCATCTTCAGGGTAAGCTGCTAAGTAGTTTGTGAAATACATTTGCTGGAACACTACTAAACAGTGACATCACTCTTTTCTCTTCTAAATATACCTCTGACAACATGTGTGTGCGTACATACAATTTAGTTTCGCCTCTTTGCACCACCACAGTAGTTTTTAAGTCAAATAATCAAGAGGTAACCTGATTTAGATGTAGTTCAAGGAGTTTTTAACATGAGCATCACATTAACTGAGCCATTTTTAAACACAGTCCCACATTTTTAAGAGGCTCAAAAGTAATTGAACAACTGGCTGACTAGAATCGTGTCCAGGTGAGGCCTGTTCTCTCATTATGCCATGACAAATGAGGCTTATAAAAGATCTGATCTTAAAAGAAAAGAATCTACCACCCTTTTTACAGAGAAACGGCAAACATTTAGAAGTGGTCAAATAAACAATCTGGTACATTCTTAAAAAGGAGCACTGAGCAGGGCCCTATTTCAGGAAGCCGGTTTAGAAAACTCAGAGTGAAAAACGATACTCAGGGTTGAGTAACCCCGAACTGTCCAACTCGGAATATTCGGTTTCAGAAAGGCTGATAACAAGTAGTTCAGTCAACGCGGAGTTGCTTTAACCCCAAATTAAGCGCGCACACGAGGATACATAAAGCCCTGATAAGCGGAGCACAGATTAAGCGAGTCACCACGGAGACGGAGGGAAAGAAGCCGCGGTCAATGTATTTTACAGCGCTTGAGGCCGAAATTCTGATGGCAGCATATGCCGATAACATGCAAATTTTGCAGAAAAAAAGTAACACAGCCTCAGCTGCAAAAGAAAGGGAGCATGCATGGCAAAACATAGCCGACAGAGTCAATGCGTGAGTGTTAATTTAAACATTGATCTAGGGATTTCCACCCATTTAACACGTTATTTTATTATTTTTTATTTTTTATTTCATACATTTGATTTTGTGATGTGATGTGAGCGCAGGTGCAACCCAACAGGCCCCAAACGTTCCTGGCAGCAAGTAAAAATGAAATATAAAAATATAGTCCAAACAGGTATGGTGTAATTGTATTATGAGCCATAGTGCTTGGTCTGTTTGTCTGATGTAAATCAATTGCAGTTAGAGGCTACATTAATTTCCCCTCTGTAAGCACTTATTGAAATTATCTGAGCACATTACAAGTACATATTTGCTTACTCTGTATGCTCAAATGTGGCCCGTTATGGCCACTAGAAAAAAAGCGGAGGCCCGAAAAACAGGTGGGGGTCCTCCACCACCACCACTCACAGAGGCTGGCCACTTGGCTTCCACATTTGTGATAATGTTGGCAGCATCACATATGATCTTCACAGTGCAGAGAACGCAAATTAGCATCCATTACTATAATGAAATAATTTGTTAGTTTGAAATGCTACAGGGAACTATGTACCTGTACATTAATGCTGTGGAAAGACTTCCTGTTCACATAGTCTCCTTCATTTACTGAAGGAGCAATGATTGGAATGTGAGTGCCATCTGTACAGCCAATCACGCCTGGGAACCGTGAGAATAAATGTAAAATTTAAGTAGTAGTTCAAGTATCACCACATCATGAATTAAGTTTTGTTCATCCTGATACCTGCAATTTTGTGGAATCCCTCTTTGATGAATCTTGTGGGTCTATGACCGGGGAACACCACAAACGAGTACAGGAGACGTTTCAGTGCAACTGTAACATTCCTGACTGCTCGACAGACGGTAGCCTTGGAAACGTGCTCAGCGTCACCAATATTATACAGAAAGCTCCCGTTTGCAAAAAACCGAAGTGCAATACAAATAATATGTACAGAACTGAGAGGATGTCCGCGATGTGTCACATGAGCAATATTAGGCCTGAGGATGTTATTCAAATGAATTATAGATTGTGCTGAAAAACGGTAACGTTCACACAGGAAATCATCAGGAAATGATAAAATGTCCAAACGCGCTCTAATCACTCTCTCCCGGCGGAGAGCTCTGCGGAGAATTTGGGCTTCAACATCTACTGGCTCTTCAAGGAAGGGACACGCCATGTCTGACACTTCCTACAGTCAGGTTTCTGACAAAGAGGCGGAGAAGGTCAGGGTTAGTTGAAGTAAACCTGCTAGGGGGCAGGTTAGCTTCACGGAGTGTGTCGTCATAGTAACTCACTCAGAATTAATCTAAACTCGCTTTGTGAAACCGAAAACCCAGAGTTTTCGTTAACTCAGGGTATACTTACTCAGAGTTTGCACTAAACCGGCTTCCTGAAATAGGGCCCAGCTCAGCAACACCAAAAGACTAAAAAAAAATACGACTAAAAACCATGTTGACAGAATTATTTCCATGCTTAAAAACAACATCTGACCAAGTCAAGAACACTTGAGGAGGTGTGTACAATCAATCAAAACTCTATAATGCCTTAATGAATCAAAAATACAGAGGGTTTACAATAAGGTGCAAGCCAATAGTTACACTTGGACTTTCACAGAAAATGTCTTTAACTTGTACTAGTAAGATTAGAAAAGTGTGGAGAAGAAGAAAAAGGGAGAAACAGCATGATCTGAACAATATCGGGGCATCTGTGGCGAATGATACACGCGGCAGGATGAATTGTATAGTGTGCAGGGCTATACTCTCTGCTTACATTCAGAAAAATGCTGCGGAACTGATCGGACAGTACCACAGAGTTGTCCGTGTATACAATGAGATACATCCGAAAATTAGTATTTATCAAACAAAACAACTTTTCATGTCTGTGTTGTTCAAAATAAACTACTACTATACTATCTAAACTGATGTGTGTTTCTTCTCCAGGAACCTTCAGAGGTGTGTGTAAGAAAATTGATCACTTCCCAGAAGATGCTGACTATGAAGCAGACGCAGCTGAATACCTCCTACGTGAGTCTGATATGAGCACACACTGCACTGTGCATTCACAACTAGGCTTTTACTGGCCAGTGTTACCATATTTAGAGTAGAACTGTCTGACTAATCACTAAACTTGTTTTGTATGTTCCCAAGCGATGTAAAGCCAATTCCATTGTTAGGTGTGTGACAACAATGTTTCATATCGGCTTGAAAAGAGAATTATTTTGTAAAGTCTGCGTTAGAAACAGCACACAGGCATGATGTGGGTGTGAGGCAATCATGAACATTACTGTGCCCCCTCTCTAGCCCCATCTGCAGGACAAACTACAGGGGTAGTATGGTTAAGGATCACAAAGTTAGTTCCATCCACTATTTTGTAGTAGCGACTTAAGACTAATGTAGAGGAAAGAGTACAGAACAATGGATTTATTTTTTTTAATTAAATGTAACCAATTGAAAATCACAAAACACTGACAGTTAATCTTTCTTCTAGGAGTGGGATATTCCCACTAACCTTTTTTCTCTGGGGAAGAGAAAGCAGTAGTCAGTAAGCACCTGAACACTGGAGGTGTTACAAATACAGTTAAAATAACACCAGTTAGTTATTTTGTCATTTCTTGTATGGAGCACTGTTTAGGCGTTTAACAGCTCACCTTATGTGCACAGTACTTATGCATACTGTTTTGATTACAGTTAAAAGGCATGTGATTGAACCCCTGAAGTTTTTCCTTTGATGGTGGCCTGCTACTTTGCCTCGCCGCACAAACTTGCACTGAAATATTCCAGCTATCACATTATTGTTAGGCAATAAACCTCTAATCCTGCCTTAACCATTAAATAGGTCTCTTGAGATTACAAATCTGCTTGGCAAGACAAGGCCAAGGCCAAGAGCAGCATTCACCTTGCATGCTTTTTTGACTGCAGGAGAAACCTGAGTGTGAGCATGGAGAAAACAATCAAACTCCATGGAGCATGTCCCTTTACAGGTTTGAAAGCAGTGCTCTCTTGCTGTGAGGCAAAAGTTAGCTAACAGCTGAGCCACCATGCTGGCATCAAGGTAATGTTGAGGCCTGGGCTCTGGGGAGGCCATTCCATGATTGATATGTTTTATTGTGTTTTTATCTATCCTGGTATGCTTGTACTGTCTTGGCACTGTGATTGTGATCGTGCTGGAAATTGAATCTGTTGCCAGTCTGGCAATTTACAGATGGTATTGCATGGTGGTTCAAAAGTTGACAATTCTTTCGCTTTGACAAACAATAACAGGATCCACTGAAAGGCCACATCTCTGTCTCAGGTCCTGTGTCAAGTGTGGATATTTTCCATTTCTTAAGAATATGACTTTCAGATACTGTTTATTCAATTCCATTCAATTTTATTTATATAGCGCCAAATCACAACAAAAGTCGCCTCAAGGTGCTTCATAGATACAGAGAAAAACCCAACAATCATATGACCCCCTATGAGCAAGCACTTTGGCGACAGTGGGAAGGAAAAACTCCCTTTTAACAGGAAGAAACCTCCGGCAGAACCAGGCTCAGGGAGGGGCGGGGCCATCTGCTGCGATTGGTTGGGGTGAGAGAAGGAAGACAGGATAAAAGACATGCTGTGGAAGAGAGACAGAGATTAATAACAGATATGATTCAATGCAGAGAGGTCTGTTAACACATAGTGAGTGAGAAAGGTGACTGGAAAGGAAAAACTCAATGCATCATGGGAATCCCCGGCAGCCTACATCTATTGCAGCATAACTAAGGGAGGATTCAGGGTCACCTGATCCAGCCCTAACTATATGCTTTAGCAAAAAGGAAAGTTTTAAGCCTAATCTTGAAAGTAGAGATAGTGTCTGTCTCCTGAATCCAAACTGGAAGCTGGTTCCACAGAAGAGGGGCCTGAAAACTGAAGGCTCTGCCTCCCATTCTACTTTTAAATACTCTAGGAACAACAAGTAGGCCTGCAGAGCGAGAGCAAAGTGCTCTAATAGGGTGATTATATCTGGTGTAGATATTTTTGGGGGGCCTCCCACTTCTTCATTTGTCATCCACTTGTCCATTTACCTCAGATTTCAGGCCGATCTCCACACCATGCTGAAATGTGTCAGCTAATAACACTTTGGGGATCACCTTGTTGGTGCAAAAATAGTATTGTATGCCTATAAAAAATGTAATTTGGCTTTTTTATGTTTGAATGTTTCATAGGTCACTGTCACAAGTCACAAGCAAAACATAAGGAAATATAAAGAAGAAGACTTTCACTCAGTACTCTTTATCACTCTTCTCATCCAAAGGATAATGGGAAATGGGTAGTTTCTTAAAAAAAAAAAAAATTATTATTGTGACTGGCATTTCTATGCCAGCTGGTATAATTATGTACCCAGAACAGTGTTTATAAACAGCAGCTGGCAATATTACAATGTCTAATAGCAGGAACAACAAAACAAATTATGACCTTAATGGCGTTCCATAACACTACATAATGAAGAAACACAAACTAATGGCAAGTAGTTAAGAAACTGAACCTAAAAAACGCCTTCATAAGGTTAAAAAGGATTATAAGAAAAAAAGAGGATAAAAAGATAAAGAGAGAGTATTTAGTAGAAAACACAGAGAAGTGAGCTCTCTGTTTATTGTAGGAGTAAAGGTGGAAAACAACAACAGAAAAGAAGGGGAAGGGATTCAGCCTGTGCCTCTTTTTCATTGCTCCACTGAGCACAGAGCAACATCCCCAGAGGGAGCCAATTAGATCACAGTCCTCAGAGCTGATAAGCCAATAAGGAGCAGAGACCTAGTGACCAGCATTTCATGCAGCCCAGGGTTGTGGGCCATAGGGGCGGAGTCTGTACGAGCAATATCTGCAGCTCTCGGTCACGGCGGGAATGTTTTGCCACGCAAGAAACAACAAACATAAAGAAAACAGATGGAGAAAAAAGCGACAATGATCTGCTTCGTTTACTTTTAGTCTTTTTGTGAAGACACAACCGTATATGATAAAACTCTGATGCATGGGCTCTCCTCATATATTCGGTGTCTCAAAATAGCCCGAATCTCAGTTCTGCGCAACAAGCTGTTTGCAAATATTCCTCAATATGTTATCGCATCCTGCACACATATGACAAATGTTTCACTCCCACTGAAGCCTCACTTTCACATTCATTATTTTGCCTCGCATATGTCAGCGTGACTCTCCATCTGTCTTGGGTCTTGTCCATTTTTTTTCCCCTTCTCCGTCCGTCTCTCGGTCTCTCTCCCTTGCTCTCTCTAGCAAATCCTCTGAATGCTTTAACATGTTCAGAATTCAGGTTCAGTCGAGCATTTAGCAGCCCGCTGCCTCGCGTGTGTAAAGTGGAACCTTTTTTTCTTTCTTTTTTTCTTCCCCTTGCATCTCCATCCTCCATCCAGCACAGAAGTGATGCGCACCAGTGATTTTGATGACGTAATGGTGGATCTACTGTTCTTCCAGCACAAATGATCCTTCATCAGTTTCTGATGGATCTGAAAGGCGACGTCTTTACACGGCAAAATAAAAAGTTTGCACCTGTTATGAACGCGTTTCCACTCTTTGTGTGTATGTGCAGGTGCTGTGCGTGCCTCCAGTCTTTTCCCCATCATGAGTGTGGGTCTGCTGTTTCTGGGCGGGCTCTGCGTGGCTGCCAGTGAGTTTTACCGAAGCCGACACAACGTCATCCTCAGCGCAGGAATCTTCTTCGTCTCAGCAGGTTAGTCATCACTGCGAGTGTCTCTGCGTGTCCATGTGTGTCCTCTTTCCTCTTAGGAATTCAGCTACAGTGATCGTCAGTCATCAGAACAGCGTACATGAAACCACACTTACTAATTCACAAATTCAGCACCTCATACCACTTTTTTTTTTTTCATTTAAATACAGTACCAGCCAAATGCCTTACATTCTCTGACCTGGTGAAAGGAGCTTGAGATAACAACAAGGCGGCTGTCTGTGTGAGCCACATGTGTCTGAGTGTGTGCAGCTGTGTCACTGTGGGCCGACTCTAAACGGAGGAGGCACAGCATTCAGATATTTGTTGAGGAGCCCATTGAGCATCTAAAGCACACAGAAGAGCCCATGAGAGGCACCAAAGTGTGGATATGGGACACAGTAGCTGATTAATCAATCAACAAGAATGCCATGATGCCACTGTGAGGCACTGTGAGGGTGTGAGAGTGCAAACACACACACCTATAGAGTCTTTCCTTGAGACGCAGCAAAGCATCTTTGCACACACCCTTGTACTTACTTATCTGTACTGTAATGATCCTGGTGATGTTCCCGGGGTCTCCTGGGGTCTTGCAAGGTGATTATTATTGGTCGGTTTTGTAATCGGAATTATTAAAAACACTCATTAACCTTTACTGATGCATTTATTGAACCCTTGTCTTTTTTAACAATGGATTTCCTTAAACGTTGAATAGGAGTTTAAAAAAAAATCAATTTAAAGCAAATTAAAGTAAAGGCACTGCTGTAAACAACATTGGTTGAATTTATTATGTAGCACAATATAAAACAGGGGCATTGTTGCAAAACAGAACGCAGATAATCGTCTTATCTCGATTGTCTCGCCGGTAGCCAGAATTGTAATTAAAGACCTGAGATGCGCGGAAAAAAAACTAAACCGCTAAATCTTTACAACATTATTAGTTTTAACTAAGCATTTTTTATCTGACTCACATGTTAAGGTTTAGTAAGTTCACTTTAATTGCACTGAAAAGGTTATTAGTCACAGAAAATTTTTATTTTCATTAGTTTTTAACAAATGCGACTGTCTTTTGCAGAAAAATGCACCATGTCCACCAGACAGGACTAAAGATGCAGCTGGAAACATTAAATGTGAAATCGCTGAACAAACTGGTCAGCAATAACACAGTACAGGCTCATGCAGTGACACAAAATGACAACACAATAGCCAACAAAAACATTACAAATAAGAGATATCCCACAGTAGCTTCACCACACACCTTGCTTTAATAAATGAAGGTTAACAGACAAAAATCACTATTAAAAAGAAAAGGGTGTGGTGTTGTAAGTTAGGATACTAAATTGCTCATGTTGTTTACAACATTCATGCACTAACAGATAAATGGAACTGGACCTGTTTGAGTGTCTACATGATCTGATTCGTTTCCTCTGATTGGCGGTGCTGTAAAGGATAAAGGGAAGGGACATTTTAGAGTTGGGGTTTTTTAAGCCAACAAACCGTGTTTTAGAAGAGCCTCAGTTACTGAGGTTTTGAAATTAAAGTATTCAATTACTGCACACTGCTCACTAGAGCCTGACCAATTTATCGATGGGCTGAAACTATCGGCCGATCAGCTATTTGTTATTTTAGCGGTATCGGTTATTTACACTGGCTGATGTGGCACAGTTTGTCCACCAGAGGGCAACTTCCCTGTTGACCACATGTGTTGGAACGTCACCAACACAAAAAAGCTTATCTGAGCAGAGGGTAAACAAGTAAATAAATAACTATACATATCAAATAGTGAAATCTGATTATGTTGTGTGCCTGAAAGAAAAAAAATACATTAGATGATATATCAGGCGGCAGGTAGGTTTTGAACCCAATATTTCTAGAACTCATAGGATCAAAATACCAAAACACAAAACTCAGGAAAGGCAAAAGCCAGGGACTTACAAACTAGGAACTATAGAAGAAACACAGGACACACAACACAAGGGAGGACACAATAAAGAAGCAAGAAAACTGAGGGTTTAAGAGGAGACGAGGGCAATTAGACAAGTGGAAGGGAAACTGAATTTAACACACACAGGACAAGAGTCTGTCAAAATAAAACAGGAAGTAAAAGACCATAGGAACAGAAATGCAGAGTTTACACAACGAGAGAAAAGTGAACAAACACGGAGAAAGGACAGACTTCACACAGGAAACGCTGAGACGAGGACAGGCTGGACAGGAAAGGGAACTAACCTCATCAACCAAGAAAGCAAGAACTAGAAACAAAGACAAAATCTAATAATATATTCAAATGACTAAATAAGTTAACACAAATCAGGTCACAAACCCAGAAATAATCCTGAATGCTCTAAACCTTGGGTCCAATACACGGGTACCATGACCGTCTCTTAGTATACTGTAGTTGTGTTATTTTTGTTAGTTTGTGGCTCACAGTTTCTCTTTCTTTATGTCTGTCCAGGCCTCAGTAACATCATTGGAATTATTGTCTATATCTCAGCCAACTCTGGCGACCCAGGCCAGAGTGACAGCAAGAAGTCCTACTCCTATGGCTGGTCTTTTTACTTCGGCGCCCTCTCCTTCATTATGGCGGAAATGGTGGGTGTGCTGGCTGTGCACATGTTCATTGAGAAGCACCGCAAGCTCCGGGCCAAGTCCCGCACTGAGCTCATCAAGAAGTCCGCCTTTAGCCGCATCCCCTCCTATCGCTACCGTTTCCGGCGCCGCTCCAGCGTTCGCTCTTCAGAGGCTCCCAGCCGCGATGCCTCGCCACTGGGGAAAGGTGGCTACACAGGGCCCGCCGCCTCCGAGATGCCCATGTACACGCTGAACCCACGAGAGGCCGGCAATGCCGGCAGCAAACCTGTTGGCGGCTTAGGCGGGCTGCTTAACTCGGAGAGGGATTTCCTCCAGAGCAGCACGCTCACTAAAGACTACAGCAAGGACCCCAACCGCAGAACCACACCTGTCTGAGAGGTGCTGGCTACAGATATCGCCCCAATCAGAGTATCAAAGAGGAGGAGGATGAGAAATGTGGGGGGGGAGTGCAAGCAAAAGCAGGGGACACACAGGGTTATGGGGTGGGAAGGGGGGGTTGCTAAACTTCGACTGTGAACTGTGAACTTTTAGCCTTCGAACTGTGAATCCTGAGCCCTGTGAGAGTGCGTGCAGCAGGGTTGGTTTTAATAGAGAAGTTGTTCCCAGCCCCAGCACATATCACTGTAGTAATACTTGTAACTCCTTATATATCAAGGCACATTCGGTTTATGTTCATGAGTTTTATGTTCATAAATTGATTTTCAGGCTTTTTCCTCACAGGAGAAATGGGAATTAGTGGAAATGTAAAATATATTAAGTGTTTTTTCTGTTTGGGGCAACTTCTCTTTAAAAAAAACAACAACAAAAAAACAAAAGCGCCACAAAAAAAACTACAATGTGAATTTGAGGAGAAGGGGTGACAGACTTTGTGTGAACCTCTGTCCTCCTGACCTTTTGGATAGCAGCAGAGTCGGGTCAGGGAAGGGGACCGGCCTTAGAGCTCCCAGCTGACCCTCTGGTTACAGTAAACGTGAAGACGTCAGCACCTTGTCGTGGGCTCTGATTCCTTTTCAGTTCAGCTAGATTCAAATTATAAACTGAAGATCGGTTTGCCCATTTAAACCAGTGCATTTGTGGAAGCAGTTATCATTTTCTATACATTTTGTATATAAACTTTCATACTGATCGATCGGAAAGCTCGCTTCACGACTGAACTGAAAATGAATTGAGCTCTTCCCTGGTCACATTTTCCCCTCATCGCTCTGATTCCAGGTCAGTGGTTAAACCTACCTGGCGGTTTCAATGAGTAAAGAAGAAACCGTGGATTAGCTGTTGCAGGCTGGGTAGAAAAGGTCTGACTCAACAACCTAAAGAATCTCTTATAGATGGTAACGTAAGATCCATTGGTGCTTCCTTCTGTTTTTTCTGCCACCTCTTGATTTATTTATTTTTTCACCTAAAACCTAAAAAGAGGTGGTTTGTCTGCCAAGCTGTCTGTCTGCGTCCATGTGTCACCTCTCACCTTTTTCTGTGTAGCCACACCTCCACACCTCCTCTCACCCTTCCCATCCTCTCCATTAGATTTAGCTCCTGTCTTCCATTGGTGGCGTTTTTGGAGACTAGTTAGGTTTTCTGGAGGTTGTTGGTTCAGGGTACTGTGGAGGGGAGACCACTGAGCTGTGAATAGGCTTTAAGGCAGCACCGTTTGTTTGCCCACTACCTCTTGGTGAACACATTTCTGATTTAATATTAAAACCTGTCAGATTTACAGCCGCAGGAGTAAACACAAGCTAAAGTAGACGTCTCCAATAGGAGGAAACTGTTCGTATGTAGCACACAAATTAAGCAGCGGGAGATGGAATTGGAGGATAGTCCAATTGTATTATTTATTTAAGTCACTCACAGCCTCCTCATTGCTCTTAATCTCCACTGCTCACACACTGGCTGACAAACTAGTTACTTACTCCACTGCCACCTCTCCAGCCTTAAGAGGACCAGTGTCAAATACTGCTGCGATCCACGCATCGAGGCACCGGAGAACACTGTGTGCATCTGACTGAGCAGCAGTGTTTGGACGCCTTTCAGACTAATGGCCTTTACACACCGGACATGTAAAATTTGCACCAATATTTTGTTTGTTAAAAATACTCGCCTATTCTCAATGCAGGCGTTCACAGCTACCGCATAATTCTGCGAGATGAATTTGGATTTAATTTATGGAATCAAACACAGTTTTTTCAGATTTTTTTGCATTCGAATTAACAGATCTGACCAATCAGACCACTGCCTGTGGCAACAAGTGCGCTTGTAGTTCAAAACGCACTGACTGAACATACTGAAACGCAACAGTACTGTTTCTTTTCAGACATACAGCTAGATGGTGCTCCAGGTCAGTCAACTCTGAAATAATTTCCCTGCCTCCTCAGATGTGGGAAGAGCTCAGACTGCCCTGCTGACATCCTGAAATATGTACGACAGCAGTCGTGATAAAGATTCAACTCCTGGATCAAACCATGAAATTCTCCGTGCTGCTGCCTTCTCGTGAGAATTGAATGAACCCAGAATCTCTGCTTCTTTCCTTTTGTTGTTTAGAAACATCAGGACCAGTTCGTTGTGGCTTGATGCGTCTTTTTTGAGGACGTTTTTTGCAAAAATGCGGCTTTTGCAAAAATGCGGGATATACCTAACACGACAAATTCGCATCTGAAAGATCTAGAATTTCATTTTGGTTTTTTTGCCACATGCTCGGTGTGTAATGGCCTTACTTTTCTGCAGGAAAAGCAGCACAAAAAACTACTGTGATAAAGCCCCTGATCTACTACTATATGCCTAATATTTACACAGTCAGTCCACTGGGTTTCCCAACAATCTAATGCTGCATCTGTGCATTTGTAAGCAGTGGCAACTAGTGTAATTCTGAAGTATTCCAGCCTTTTAGTAAAAGGAGGCATATTCTAAAACATTAAGAAAACAAGCTGAATTATTCACTTTACTCAGTAATCTTCTATCTCACGACACGAGGCGACAGAATTTGACACTGTGAGAAAAAAGGCAACACAGCCATAAAATCTACAGAGAGGAGACGGGGAGGGTTGTGAAACCTGAGCATGAGTATCTAGTCACACCATTTTTCTCAACCTGTTTCTGGGACTGTGAGTAACAAGTAAGTGTGAAACTCAAAAGAGGAAAAAAAAAGCTTTTTTTATTTTTTCAGTTATTGTTCTTTTACCTTCCCATAAACAGCCATTGCACTGTTTTGTATAAAGTCGACATGAAACAACACCAACCCGACACTGTCAAGCTACTACTCTGACAGTCATTACTCTGATAATAAAATATGTTTTAAACCTCGCACACACTGTTTAATTTATGATGCTGCTGTTTTATCTCCTGTCTCCGACGCCATAAAGGGAGCTTAAAGGGACAAACGTGCATTGCTACTGTCCTCTACATGTAAATATTAATTTTGCAACTGCAACTAGGGGCATCAGCTTTTGTCATGGGCTGTGAAAGGGGAAAAAAACCCTACTTTTCTCCAAGCAAGGGCTTTTAATTTTTAAAGGACAGGAGCACACAAGGGCTTTTTATGCTCAGCACTGCAGCAATTTCATTTTAAGGGTGTAACGTGGGAGGGAGGGGGAGAAAAAGCAAAGTACATTTGCACAGAAACAATCGTTGTTGAACAAGCTAACCGCTAATACAGCACGCTTTGTGTAAAAGAGAAGCTGAAGTAGAGGAAAATCAGACTACGCTTTTCTACTCTGCTACTTTTTTTTGACTTAACTTTAGGTTAGATGAGTAATTTTGTGACGTAATTAGAGATGAAGACTATTGCCTTAAGCAAAGGTAGCATATTTAAGAGTTATTTCAGTTGCTTAAGATTCAAACATAAATTAGCAAAATATGCCTGGTGCCAAATATTACTCCAGATGTTTTCTATGTATCACGACCTCCAGGTTAGCTTTAGGTTTGCAGTTGTAAGTACTCTAATCCGCGTAGGATTTACTGACTCAACAGTAGCGGTAGCTTCGTAGCTCTCATCGGCTCAGACCTCGAGGGGTCTGCTTAGGGTCGAAGTTCAGAACTGCCATCCATGAGCCATGTCAGCGTTGACCATTCAAACCATGCATGCCATATCCATTTGCTTCCAGTGCTTACATTTGCTTTAGTCTCAAATGGCACCCTAATCTCTATACTCTGTAGGGATACTCGACTGCTACACAAAAGACGCCTTACAAGGGCGCGCGGGCCCATTAGCCCGCGCTGTAATGATGTTTACTTCAGTAGAGCACAGGGTGCTTTTTGAGACTAGGCCACTGTCTATCTCTTCTTCATAAAGCTTTGATACTCTGATATATTATTAGTAAAAAAAAATTATTCTATTCTATTCTAAAGGTGCCACTGTGCAGAGGATGATAAACTCTGTCACATATTATAGTAATCTATTCATTGGGGCGGGGGCTGGGGAGGGTTGATCGCAGGGGGGCGGAGTTGGGAAGCAGGGGTTGTAGTCTTTCTAATATTCTATTATTCTAGTTTCATTTTCTACTTTGATGTGATTGTGAGGTTGTGTTGTTTTAATCACATCTGAAGTTTCTGACAGGAGGGACATTAGGAGGAGTGGAGCACTCGGACGATCGCTCATGGACATAAACCTCACCTCACCGGTGCCAGAGGTCACTTTACAATTTGCCAGCAGGACACTCAGCACTGCAGCGCACACACACGCACACACACCACACGGACACATGCATTCCAAGTAGCTATACATACAAATTCCTCTACTTTTGAGGACTTTTACCCAAAGCTTCAATGCTAGTTTTTGTTGTTTGCACTTGCACAGGAGAAGACTGCCTCAGATAGCAGGCTACAAGCATCAGTAAACCCTCCAGTTTCACGAGTTTGGAAGACGTAATGACTGTTAATTAAAGGATAAAAACAGGGTTAAGAACTGTCCGATGCATTATTTAAAACCTGAAACAATGATGCATCGACTTCCAGGAAAAATATGGTTGGAAAACCCCCCAGAATGATTGTTATCCAATCGTAGAACTCACGGCTATGTTAATAACAAAAGTAAGGGTATTTAAACACGCACAAGAGAACTAAACAGCTGTGAAAAGCATGTATTAGTGAGGCTAGTTAGTGAATAAAAGGTTTCAGTTTGCTCAGAAGCATACAGATCAGACTCTGGAGGAATGGAAAAAGGTCATGTGGTCTGATGAGTCCATATTTACCGTGTTACAGAGTGATTTATGCATCAGGGTAAGATAGATCCAGCCTTTACTTTACATCTGGGGTTGCTTCAGTTGGTCTGATCTAGGTTCAGCAACCTTATGTGCCCCCCCCCCAAGAAATGGGGGTCAGTTGATGATGTGATTAAAATGAATGACCAACAAAGATTCCTTTCTTTTCTCACAGCACAGGCATGATGATCCAAGATAATTGACAATCTTTAGGATGTGCTGCAGAATCAAAATCAAAACTGGACAGAAATAAACATCCACATCATGTAAGCTCATCAAAATAATGCCATCATCATCAAAGGTAATCAGCTGATATCAGTTTTGACCGAACAGCGTAATCAAACTTTTGCACACTTAAACTTTAACTTGAAATAGAATTCGAAGCTTTGGGATTATTGGTCCTCATGAGTATAGGAGCACAAGAACACAGCACACAACGATGTAGCCTCGTTAATGATCACACACACACACACACACATACATGCTCACAGCTTCAGCTTTGCCCGGTGTGGCGCAGAGAGAAATGTTCTGTTCTGGGTTAAAAAAAACAAAAACAACTATCACTGTGTCATGTTTGGTGTTTCTTTGGAAGAAAATGACAAAC